GTAGCACCTGCATTATACAGCACATGTACCTGTAGTATGTATTACCTGCAGTATGTTGTACCTGAAGTATACAGTATCTGTCGTACCTGCTGTATGTAGTACCTCAGTACTTGGTGGCAGTAGCAGGCACCCGTCAACATTTCAGATTCTCTAGTTTGCAATAATGTTTTTCCTCAATTGAATGATTGTCAGTGTCAGACACTCCAGAAACCTTCCCATATTTGACCTCTGCTGCTGCAGCACCAGTGTTAGGAGGACGTAGAGGAATTCACATCAGCTGACAGACAGACAATACCTTCCAGATAAGATCCTCTCTGTGACTAAAACACTGGACACAGCTCAGGCCAGGCAGTGGAGACAGAACAAATCCTGATTACACTTTGGCCAGATAAAACTGAAGTCCAATCAAACCTGCCATAGCTTTGGCAGCTGCAGACTTCTGCTACTGTCTTGTGTTTCGTTGCATTCTTCAGTGTTGGCATGCAGATTTTCTGGTTGATATCTGCAGGGCGCAAGATGAACTGAATGTTTGTTTGTGTTTGATTTTTTTCTCTTTGGGAAACATCACTAAAGGCAGTTTTCTTGGAGATCAATGTTTGCTTGAAATCTCCTCAAAAATATAAGTGCAGTTTTAATTAGAGAGTGAAACAGTTTTGGGCGTATTTTCACATCATTATTTCAGCAATCAAGCATTTGGCTGGAATTACAGAAATACACGCTTCATTTTTAAAAAGCCTTTTAGCAGCACCCGTTGGGTTTTTTTCTGAAACTAAATTTTACATCAGTTGTGTCTGATCTCTTCAGAGACAGGCAACAAAAGACATTAAATAGTCCTTCAGATCAGCTTTTAGAAATCAGATGACTTGAAAGGGAATGACCTACGCGTTCATTAATGTTTTGGGAGATTTTTGAAATGTGAACAGCTCAGTTTTGTCCTCGTTCAAGTAAGTCGTGTACTTCAAAGGCGAGGCTTCATGGTCGTTGTAATTTTAATGAAAGTTGTTTCCTTTGAGTGATCTTTTTGAGGCTTCTATCAATCTGCACGCTGGGATGGAGTTGAGACAAACATGGAATAATAATATGGATGAACGACTGTGTCACTGCTAATAAAGCTGAGGAACAATGTTGGGTTTGGAGTCTGAGCTTTTTAGAGAAATGGAAAGGATACATTTCTTTTGTATAGGATTTCCTTGGCCTTTGCATGTATTTGCCAGTTGACGTGAGAGGGAGACAGGCAGGATGAAGGGAGGGAGAAGGGAATGGCATGTGGACGTTTGATTACACATGGAGGGCAACTGAGGACACCCTGGCCAGCAGGCTATCCTTTAAAAATGCTTATAAAACATGTCTCACAAAACAAAAGTTTTTATTAAACAGTTAAAATAAAGGATGTCAGCCCTGGGTAATTTTAAGGAAACAAAAAAGAAAAATGACATGAATAGGCTTTCCTTTCAGTCTGGCACTTCATCGCCTCAGTGAGCTTTAGGACCGCTTTTGAAAGTGCTATTTATTTAGAGGTGGTGAAATTCAAATGTTTTGTGATGTAAATGTCCTCCGAAATCAGAATAGGCCAGGTAGGGTTTCACTTCACAAGGAATTTGCTTTGGTTTTTGGTGCATACATCAAGCTCCCACCAGACCTGAGTGGTAGCCTACACCAGTGGTCCTCAAATGGTGTGCTGGGATGCAGATTAGAGATGCACCAATCCAGCTTTTTCAGTTTTGATAGCGATCCCGATGCTGTGGCTTTGAGTATCAGCTGATACCGATCTGATACCATGGTTGACCTAAAAAGCTATATACCTTACCTAAACAACCTTAACAAAAAAGACTAGAGGCCTCAGGCATTAATGACTACACAGTTCTTTCCTAAGAGAAAATGAAACAAGATGAAACAGATTAATGCAATGATGAACTACTTATTTTTAACAAAAATAAACAATTGTGCAACAGCAGTTGAAATAGTGTGAAGCACCTCCACACAGCAGATTCTCTCCTTCGCTCCATGACATGTGATGTAGCTTGCATTGCAATAGATTTAAAGGGAAAGGATTGCCTCAGGTATAGGTTGCATTTTCCGATACCCAATCCATCTAATTTGATGATATCGGGGCCGATATTCGATCCAGACATCGGATCGATGCATCTCCAATACAGATCAAGGTTTGACATGGGTTTTTTTGACAACCACCCATTATTATTGCAATATTCAACTGGGCCTATACTTCATTCACACCCATTTCCTAATAAAGAGGCAAACTCTACCTAACAAAAAGTAAATTAATTAAAAAACCTCAACACGTCACATCATATTACATTATTTCCTGTTTAAATTGATGTGTTATTGGTGCTTTGATGTCATTTTAAAATGTTTAAAATTAATTCTTGAATCATTTTGTTAAGCAAAATTTCATGAGTAATAGTTGGTTGTCAATTGTTATTTGGTATTAGTAAATAAAAACAAACATTTATGTGATAACACAAAGTTTGAAAACCACTGGCCTATGCAGTACAGTTAACTGAAGAGTAGCCAAATTAATCTATATACCAACATGCGTAATGGTAACCGGTCAAAAATGCTCTCTGCATTTAAATGACTAACAATTAACCCATAATTTCCCAAGCTGTAATTCTTTTTATTGCAAGTTAATTAAATGGAAATTTGTTCAGGCTCTCTACATAACAGGAAACATGGTATTTGTACTTCTATTGCACTAAATTGTTTTTTTATGTTTCCATGTGTGTTGTTATGCAAAAATTCATCACTGAGCCAGTTTTCAAGTGACTGTCCAGTGACTTTATATGCTAAAGGAAAGTTGACTGCACCATTGTAATCATTTACTTGTGGTTACAAAACATAAATGTTTCCAAAATGGCACCAGGAACCATGGGCATTGTTGCATTACATTCCTGCTCAAGGAACCATCTCATCTGTCTTTCATCAAATGACAGATTGAATTCATGTTTGCTTCCTTCCCTTGTCATTTCCTTTCATTTCTCATCATCAGAAATGTTTCTGCATACAATCACAACTTCAAACTCATTTTCTGTTGACTGCACGTTTTTTGTTTTTTATTTTTATTTTTCCCAGCTCTTCACTAACTTGGCGCTGTAATTATTCGCTGTTGTTGAATGTAGATGCTAATGAAAATCAGTTGGTCACAAAGGTTTCATTTTGAACTCTGGGTGCTTCTGCATTCCAAACAGGGAGAAAGCTTCAGGGAATTCCAATTTGAATAAAAAGAGATGATGCCTAACATCTTTAATTCATGTGTACGAAGTCCTGCAAGAAGCGTCTTCAGCAGAGCCAGTGACTGAGGAAATGGAGAAGGTTGTCACGTGAAGCTTTCTCTTGTATCTGTAGACGCTGCTGAAGGTTGTGTATCAGAATAAGACCTGCCGTTCAATATTTGTGTGTTTACAAAGGCTGCTGAAATGCTATCAATTACAGGGTTGCTAGGCAGTTTATGATCTGTGGCTGTAGGTTTGCTTGGATTACAACAAACAGAAGCAAGAGGAGATGCAGGAAGTAGCAGAGCCTGAAAGCCTGACAAATTGCAGGCAGCAGAATATCAGGCTCTGGGTAATAAGCTTGTGTGCACATTTAACATTGTTAGCCGGCCTGGCTCCTATAGCCCGACTGATACTGGAAGCCTGAGGGCTAACACACAGTCTTGATATGGATCCTTTATAGAACAGCGGTTGCTAATCGTCCACATAAAGTAATACAAGCAGTGACTGCACACAGACATACAAACATAGACGGACTCCATCAGTGTAGCCCAAAATTATGTTTTTAGCACCAATGCAATCAGATATCAATCCCACAAACGATGTATGTACAGATTTTTAAACAAACTGGTTGCCATCTGAAAAAAAACATCATAGTGGTGGCATTTTTCATATTGTTTGGTCCCTCTTGTTAGTTTCAGTTTGAGTGTTTCTTTGAATACCTATTTTTTTCTTTGTTTAATATGTTTTGGGTAATGAGTCCCACTTGGTGGAAGCTCTATAAATATGAGTTTTTAAGTTGCTATGTATCCTTAGCTTCCTTAGATCTAGAAATTGTAACCAAAGCCCCTTTCTCAGAACACAAAAACCCACAAGCACCCACCAACACCTGGCTTTTGTCTTCAGTAGGAAAGGTTACAATTCATTCCGCAGCAGGTATTTATTGGCTGTGATGGAAATTTGATACTTGATTGGACACACGTGCTAATTTTTGCCCTTTCACCAGACTGTCAGTAACTTCTGTGACTGCACTTTGTCATCTCAGCCACAAGTCTTTCCCCAAGTACTGCTCGAACATCATTCCAAATTAGTTGGCACCACCACCGAGTTTTAAGATTTACCTTGTTTTCTGGCGCATTTGTGACATTGAACGTGACATACAAAGGCATACTTGTCTGCTGGCGATGGAAAAGGAGACTGTTGCCTGTGTTTAGTGTTTTAAAAACCTACGTGTACATTAGGGGTGTAACGGTTCACAAAATTTGTAGACCAGTTTAAATCGATACAGTGGTGTCAAGGTTCGGTACATTTTTGATACAGCAAGAAAGTATGAATGCAGGAGAAATGTCCCTGATTTTTAACATTTATAATATATAAAACTAACATGATAAAGTATGATCTTTCTTGACTTTGAACAATGATGGAGATGCACCTGAGTGACCCGTCTTCTGGGGTGTCTTTGGTGTTTAAAAAAAAATCTTTTTTAAATTTTTAAATGTTTTACACTCCAGCTGAAAACGGCTCATGGCTGAATATTGTAACGAGGCTCAGTTACATCAAGCATATTCATAGAGCCTGCATTTTTCCACTACAGAGTAGAGTCTGCTATCCATGGCTATAAAACAAACCACACTGTATGTTCTTCGGATAATAACAAAGAGCTGTGTACTGTCTTTGTTTATAAATGCATTTTTACGAGCATGTCTATCAGGTCATGATCTATTCCAGTAAATCCCTCTCAGCATTTCCTGTACGTCTTTATCTTTCCAGGCATGCACCATGTCGGGAGCCCATCAACCCGTACTATGTCAACACTGGTTATGCTCTGGCTCCTGCCACCAGCGCCAACGATAGTGAGCAGCAGAGTATGTCCAGCGACGCAGAAACAATTTCCCTCACTGACAGCAGTGTGTATGTATCTTCTTATCACACACACACACACACACACACACACACACATACACACATTTCATGTTTAAAGGTGTTATGTCAGGTCATAACGGGTACGCCAGGCTGCATTTTCAGCTTGAACTCAAGATTTCTATCATCAAAATGAACGACACAACCCGTATGATACTTAGTATTCCCAGTTATTATTTAAAAAGAAAGGCATGTCATATAAATTAGCATTGCTCAGAGACAGAAATAAGAGTTAAATTGGTTTCAGAATTGCACTTGTCTGTTTTTTACTCGTGCTTGAACTTAATGGGAGCAGCAGCTAAAGTCCCATCTGCTCGTTAGCCAGTCCAGTAAAAGCTGTTAGAATTGATCTCTAATGCTAATTAGGAATCCTAAAACCTCACTCTTAGCAGACATAAAATCGTGTTTGATAGAAGTTGCAGAAATCAGAATACTACCCTACTGACCTGTTTTGCAATTGTGACACACAAATGGGTTTTAAGTGCTTCCAAGGCGATTTCTTTATAGTCGCAGTTCTAAATTTGGGGGGAACAAAGCAGAATTTGTCTCCTTTCACGAGTAACTTTGTTTGGGCACAAACATGAGACCAAAGGCAATGTTTTGTACCATCTGGGATCACTTGCGAACAGGACTTGTATTTCAGTCGAGTGTGCAGACCAGGCATGTGCTGGCGAGGGAGGATTTTCGAAATAGTGTTTTCTAGGTGCAGAGATTGCACTGGGGACGTATGCCAAAGAAACTTCAAAGCTTGCACAACTGGACAAAAATGTGTTTGAAGCTGAATGGATTAGAGGCAGTTATCAGCTAATTGGTCCAGAGCTTCCAGCATGGGAGAGTGTGAAACCCAGCATGACCAATACCACATGGAATTACAGACTGATGGATGTGTTAACATGTAACTGTAATCTGCCAGACCACTTGTGGTGCAGGATGGACACAATAAGCCTGTGAGAATGCCCGTCCTGCTGCACTGATTAATCAAGACTTACAAGGTGTTCGTTTTAGGCAAAAAAAAATGCGGTGGAAAGCTTTCAACTTCAAAGCTGCCTGTGTTGTTTATTCATGAGGATGTTTTATGAAAATGTCTTTGTTGTTAATTCCAGAGATGGGGTTCCACCCTACAGATACCGCAAACAGCATCGCCGGGAGATGCACGAAAGTGCCAAAGCGAATGGGCGAGTGCCACTACCTCATATTCCAGTGAGTTATTCATGGGTTTCTCTCGCTTCCCTCTCACTTTCTGCCTCACACCTCTCTTTAACTGTCTGTCTCTGCCTTATTTTTCCTCCGCTGCACCATCGGAGATGTGCATATTTAAGCTCGGCTGTGTCGCAGGGCCTGTGATGGAGTGTAAGAATAGCTGATGGTGAAAGAGAAGGCTGTCTAAATGTAGCTTGATGCTTTCCTAAGCTGTGAGCACTGAAGCCTAGCAGATATGAATCCTCCCCTGTGATAGCCTGATGCCTCCCTCTGCAGCTTACGCTGTCTCTCGGTAGGAAAACCCCAGCCCTAATTAGGCCTCGGAGTAAAGAGTCAAATTAAAACTTCACACGTAGCATCCTATTAGGATGCATGAATTGACTGTATAGTAGAGCACAAATCCCCAAAGCGTAACTCTCACGTTTCCCTGCCCCAACAAATTAATCATGACTTCACTTCATCGGCAATGAGAAAATTAACAGGGCTTGTAGGTCGTCTTTTAAATGTCACTTTGTTTTCCAGCCTTTTTCTTTCTGATTTTTATTTTTTATACGCTGGTTCCAAATCAGAGTGAACAGCTTTGAATTGTCATGATTGAAGTGCAGCAGCTTCTGCTATTAGGCAAGGAAATAAACATCACTTATGTCCTCATTAAGGCGATTATGTGTGTTATTTAAAATCACAGTGCTCTTGTTATCCTCTATATGTTCTTGTTGCTGAGACACACTTATCAGATGGATATAGCTTTTATTAAAGCTTGCAACGGATGCATTTTTTATGGGAAGTGTAGCTCCATCCTATTTCAGAAGCACACAGGAGGGATGGAAATGTCACTGAGCCCTGATAAAATTTATAACAATAATTAATAATACATCCTCCATCGTGTGGGGAAATTTAAAAACATCACTATCAGATTCAGTAGTATTCAGTCTATTTTGTTCCACTTCATTCAAATTTAAATGTGTAATCCCTTTGGATGTTTAACACTTGACACTGTCTACTTGATTGTTTCCTGCTGATGTTTTAGTCCGTTCATACGGTCACTGGCAGGATGTAGTAAAAGGTCAGGATAGTAAAACTGCCCATATGGTGCTGACAGTATTACAGCAGAGACAAAAACTCACAGAGAGCAGTTTACAGTTTGACATTTCTTCCCCCCAGCGCACAAACCGGATTCCAAAGGATATCCATGTGGAGCCAGAAAGGTTTGCTGCAGAGCTGATCAGCAGACTGGAGGGAGTGCTGAGGGAGAGGGAGGCTCAGGAGAAGCTAGAGGAACGGCTGAAGAGAGTACGATTGGTAGGTTCGCTTTATTGTCCTCTGTTTAAAGCAGAAGCAGACCCACTGTTTTTCCACTCAAAAATGTGTTTTTCTTGTGTTTATGCCCCCTAAAATGTCTGACCCTGACTATTCTGACTTGTATCTGTGAAAGGTTTGTCACTACAGAGGTGTTTTCACATTCCTCTACTGAAAGGGATTATGAGATTGAGCCGTAAACCAGGCAAGCTAGATTAGGTACATCACTAATTCCAAAGCCAATTGCTGTCTAATACAGGAAACACATAACAATGCCAGCAAAGAAACCTGAACCCTCAGGCTCAGAGCAGACTTGTCAGTACAGAAAGTAGAGTTTGCATTAACATAGTGACAGTTTTGACAGCAAACATAGCAAAGTGTTCAGTTTTTGGATATAAACCGGAACCTGGAGTTTCTTTTCACCATCTAATGAAAACCCCTATTCAAACAGATGTTATTGGATGACTTAGAACCATTATCGCTGTGTTAGCCACTGCTAGTTTACCTACAAGCTAACAAGCTTAAAAAATAAATAAAAGATGTTTACTGTACTTACCATTCTGATGCGTCAGCTAGTCGCTGACTTTGGTGTGCAACAGGCTCCCAGTCTGAGTCAGGGTCTGACTGAGGCTCAAACATGTATGGCTGAATCTGTTTGATATTTTGTCTAACACTAAAGCAGGCCATCTTAATGCACACTGCTCTTTCACTGGTCAAGCAAGCACTGGAGAAAGCAGAAAGCAGAAAACTAAACCTAGCAGCGGTAGTGGGTGAGGCTCAGGCTACATCTAGAGTTTCTCAATGAAGGAGAAAGAGGAGATCTGCTTCTGGACCAGGCCCCAAGAAATCTGCTCAGCCTTGCTTCCAGTTTTTCCAGTGGTCACTTGTAGTATTGCAATCCCCTGCGGCCCAAAAAGCCGGTTTCCTATTGGCCACCATTACAAAAGAGATGTCTGTGAAACTGTTGACAGGACACCTTAAACTGCAAACAAGGTCAATTATTAATCTTATTAATCTTTTCATTATGAATTTTTGAGCAATTGTGGTTTTATATTTATAAAACTTTTCTCAAGCTGAGAAAAGTGATTTAAAAATCCATAATGTCATCACAGTGTAGTCTATGTAGTAGTCTATGAGCTAACACTACTGCGCATATTCAGTGGCCTATAAACCTTAGAAGTAAACCCAGTAGAGCGCTGAGCAAGCAACTTGATTGGAATGAATAGTCGCTATCTTGACATCTGGTATGTAGTTATTATTATACATCTATATTCTGGAACCTTTTTGAATTATATTTATTTGTTCATTTTTTTTATGTGAGAAAACAATGTCAAACAAAAAATATAAATTATAGCAGCATATCTCTACATACTTTAAAATGTGTCTGGTGGGGGATTTTAATTTGGTTTAACACTTGTGAATGAGCAGCATCTTTCAGGAGCTGTTGCAAAGCTTCACACAGGAGAATACGGTCTGTAAACTAAATGAATCCTAATATACTACAACTGAGGCAGTGCAACAAAAGAAAACCGTATGTACAGTATTGACTCCCGAGAGAGATTTAAAGCTGCTTTCACTCAGTTCAGTTACACCATCAAGTCGTATGACGTCATCTTGGCTTCTGGTGATACTGACAAAATAACGTTATTAGCTAGATGCAAAAGTCTGACAATTATCTTCTCGATTATATCTTAATAAAATGTCAGAACAACGTAAAAAAAAATGCCTTTTCTTATTCCCCAGACCCCATGCTATCTTCAAATTCCTAATTTTATATTAGCAACAGTACAAAAACCTTAAGATAAAGTCGAAAAGTGGCTGAAACGGTTCATCAGTTATCAGAATAGCTGCAGATACATTTTCTGTCAACCAGTTATTCATTTAGTTAAGTAATAAACCTAGCTCTGGAGCAGTTTGTATTATATAGTCAACATTTATATTTAATATTATATTTTAATCATGCTATAGTTTTTGTGTTCTCGGACTCCTGGAACATCTTCTGGTTATTTTAAATCCCTTTTTTCACCTGAAAAAAAATGATTTCCTTTAATAAAAGAATAAATTATGGCCATAGACAGTGTATTATAAAGCAGACCAGTAGTATCGCTATCAGTAATGTGTGAGAGATACCACCCAAAGCCCATTTCTGAGCCAAAAAGCGAGATGTGTGTCTGGCCGTTGGGCTTAAAGTTTCCCGTAACAAAGGAGACTTAAATCCGTCTGGCCTTAATGAAATTAATGAGGCCAGCCTTTTGAATGGGGAATAAAAACACATTATGAATCACTTGGAGATTTCCATCCTTGGCCTGTCAGCGATCTGGCTTTGTCGATGAATCAGATGGAGCACCTGCACACTCGGCCACTTGTAAGCCTGGAACAGCGTGCCGCCTGTTTGATGTCACTTGAACGGTGATGAAATGGTTGCCACTACCACAAATGAAATCCCCCTCAGTAGACAGACCCAAGTACTTAGTCTCAAGGCAGACAATTTGTGTGGTTTGGCCCTGAAAGGAGAGGAGCTGCCATCACACAGCTCGAGGTTTGCTTTATTAAACCTGGAGGCAAGCATGAAATGACTGCCTTCATCAAGTATCTAGAAAAGGAAATGTGAGCTTGGCTTTTAGCTTTTTAACCATAATATCACAGGTATTAAAAATGATACGTTTTTTGTGGTTAAAAAAACTGATGTTATCATTTTATTGCTGCGAGGAGAAGGTTCACATGATTTCATGAGGAAGTGAGTAACGTATTGCCACAGCTCTGTCACTCAGCCTGCTCAGAGTGAAATAATGGCTTCACTTAATGTAATTTTTTGGAACAATGGACCATGTGGCTCAGCTTTGCGCAGGATAATTCACATGCTCGAGCAGCAGCATGCTGTTCATGGAAGTAAATCAATGGCACAAACACTCATGTGAGCAGGATGGTCACTGCTTGTCTGAATAGGTTTTTTATTTGGTGTTAACAAGATAGCAGAGCGTGCCACCGTGTACACTATTAGTCCTCATAAGGAGAGGCACCATGTTATATAAATGAGCCACTGTAGACTGTTATCAGTAAATCCCCATCTGCCACCGAAGCTAACTTGTAGAATCTGCTGTTGTTTGCCAGGGATTTTCATTTTCAAATGGAAAAGAGGGAGCCGGTGGAAGAAATGTGCTCAAATGAAGATGTCCATGAATAACTTCCTGTGGGCTCAGCTAACACAGATATCTGGATCTGGTGCAGAGATGCGAAGATGCATCAATTATTTAAAAACATGCCAAAAAATATTTGGCTGTTTGCGGCATCTTTTGCTATGTTGCTATATTGAAGAAAGCAGTGGGCACAGGGAAGTTATGTTTATGTAGGAGCTTGATTTAAAAAAAAAAAAAAAAAAAACCTACAGGGTTTCTTTGGTACAGTGATAGTAAATGGATGGTGAGCACAGGGCCAGTTGGTCTGGCACATTCACAAGTAAAGGTTTATTTAATGATTAACATAACTGACATAAAAGGTTTGGGCATGAGCTGGCTAAAAAATTGAAAGTGAAACCCCTACCTACTGCTGTCACTACTAGGAGTGTGACAGTTATCCAAATCCACGATTTGATTTGATTTTAGATCTTAAAGGAACAGTGTGTAAGATTTTAGGGGATTTATTGGTATCTAGTGGTGAGAATTGGAGATTACAACCAGCTGAAACTTCTCCCGGTTAAAATTCCTTCAGTGTTCGTCATTGAATTATCCACAGAGGTCTGTTGCTCTCCAAAACAAAGAGACCTGGTGGTTTAAAGTGGTAAAAATGCTGAATAAAGCAGTTTCACATTACAAATTAGCGTTTCTCCAACACTTTTTGGCATGTTGGAGATGGGCCGGTAGCCCAGCTCCTGCTGATGTGTGCGCACCTTTTTTCTCTGATCACTTAAGATCCAGATGTTTTGGAGGTTTTTAATTGAAGCCGAAACTCTTCAAAACAAACAGACCTAGTGATTAAATGATACTAACTGCAGTGGTCGGTGCGAAAATGCGAATGGCAAATCTAGAGCCATTATGTGGCTCATTCTAAGGTAACATAAACTTGGTTGGTAAAGATCAACAGATAATAGGTTTTATTCCCTGACAACTACCATTTACATTTTCAAATTCTTCATTAGAAAGAAAGGCTACATGGTATCAAGTGTGATACAACTGCCTAGTGATGCACAATATTGGATTTTTTGCCGATATCCGATATGCCGATATAAAGCAACTCAGTTGGCCGATAACCAATACCAGTATTGATATATCCACTTGTATCCCCACCTGATTTTAGTGATCATCAGTTCATTACTGTAGGGGAATTAACATCATATTATACATACTAAGTCTTATCATGATAGCCCACCAGCAGATGGAGACATGAAATACAATACCTTCCAATGTATGTAAAATTCATTCATTGTGCAAATTAAGAAAAAGCATGTTGGGCAATTCTGATAGTTCATTTTAACGCCAGAATTGGACGATAACGATGACGTGCCGATGTTATAGTGCATCCCTACAACTGCCATATTTTTTGCGGGACTGTACCACACTAATTAATTAATTAAAGTAATGTAATTACATTAACATATTTCACCAGACAATTGGGGCTAAACTGTTCAACACAAAATGAAGAGCAACTAGATGCCACATCAGTACTTTACATCAGCAGCTCAAGTTTCCTCAAAAAGCCACCAGGTCTTTGCTTTACTTTCTCTGTCAGCGGTGCGTTTGTTGTTTACATAGCCCACAGGAATGTCAAAATGTTGCCACACCACTGACTGCAGTGACGCAGGAGGATTTTCTAGTTGTGTTGTTTTCACATCATCCATGACTCCGATAGTGGCCATGGGTCTTGGAAAGTACAACTTCAGGTTACAGTTAACTGTGTCGTCTTTGAAGTGCTGGGTTTTTTTTTTTCTTAGGATGCACGCTAATAGGCGTGGATTGGGGGAAAAAATACTGGGGGAATCGCTGCACTTTGTTATTGTATCAGTAATGGAAATCAAAAGCTCATATTGGTCGATTTTGATCTGTTTCCGATTTAGAATCGAAATCACAACACCCCTACTTACCACTATATCTCTTTGTTCCCACCCATCTCTTCTCTCTCTGCTAAAAACATTTCTGATGGTTTGAGTCTTGATGGAAAACCCTGCTAAATATAATTTTTACTTCCAGAATTTGTTATTCATGCCCTTTGTTATGTGACCTTTTTTTAAATATTCAAAACAAAATATTTAGTGAAACAACAAACTGTGGCAAATGTGCAGCTCCAGTGGGAAAGTATTTGATTTAGGAATAAATTTATTTAAAATCTTTGTGGTGTGAGGTCCTTGTGAAACGAGGATCGATTATTACCAGTTTCAGATGACTGAATTTCTCCATCCACTCTGTGTTTCGTTTCATTGCTGCACATCCTCCACTCCCCACAATGCCTGCTTATCAAAAGCTATTGTGAAAGCCTGCAGCACCCCACCCCATGATTCCCTCTGGAGCAGATTCAGTCAGAGTGTGATTTTTGTCCCAGTCACTCAGAGCTCAAGCTGTATCGGTTGCACTTGTCCTCACATGGAATAACGCTAATGTGCTGCATGCACATGTAGCACCCCCAAATCTGAGTGATACTGTTGTGTTTTTTGGTTTGTGTCCAAACCTCTGCAGTAAGAATGAGAAGACACATATTGGCATGTGGTGAAAATCTGCCATCTGCAGGGTGAAATAAATATAACACATGCACCCTTGTTGGCTTATCATCAGTGTTGGATGTATAATCATATCAGATCTTTAAAACCTGGATTTATTTTTGCCAGATTGTTATTCCAGATTAATGAATGTTGTTTTGTGTTGTGTCTGTGTATTCTTGTTTTAAAGGAAGAGGAAGGTGATGAAGTGGTGTCCACAGCCACAGCATTATCCAGTCACAGGTTCCCCCCTGGTGCTTACTCTCAGAACTACAGCTCCCACTATGCTGACAACACCTACAGTGGTCCTTTCCTGAGAGATGCTCACGAGGAGAACCCTGAGAGCATCCTTGATGACCACGTCCAACGGGTCATGAAGACTCCTGGCTGCCAGTCCCCAGGCACGGGCCGTCACTCTCCCAAGTCACGCTCACCAGACGGCTTCCCAGGGGGCAAATGGACAGGACTCGGAGTGGCACAGGGTAAACATCCATCCAGGCATGGTGTCAAGGGAGACGCCAGCCATCTGTACCACCACAAACACGTGCACCACATCCACCACGCGGGCATCGGGAAGCCCAAAGAGCAGGTGGAGGCTGAGGCGGCCATGCGTGTGCACGGCAGCATTCCCTGGAGCACGGAGACAAGTCATTATGGATCAAAGTGTCGCAGCTATGCAGATGGCATGGGATCCAACCCCATGGAGCACACAGGGTATAGGTACGCACCAAACTCAAGCAGTAGTTGCCTCTTATTTATGCACCCAAATTGCTTCTTACTTTTTGTACTTACCATTATTTTCTTCCATTATTCAGCAGCAAAGGTGGCACACAGTTTAAAAGAACATTCAAGAAAGGCGAGGAAGTTCGGCCGTATGACATGCCAGCACCTGCAGAGGAGATGGAGAAAAACCAGAAGATCCTTTTGTGGCTGATGGAAGGACAGAAAGAAATGGTTCAACACAAACGGAGCCCATATGGGTCAGTGATGACATTTAACTCACTTTTTAAGGGGAGACGCTAAAGGTGTAAACAGTTTTTTAATGCATTGGTCAATTTTGAGATTTTGATATTTTTTGCTTCCACAATATGTCTTCTCTCAGACTAGTGGAAAGAAAACTACACAAACTAAACAAAAACTACAGAAAACTATGAATTTCTGTATTTGTTTTAGTTCATGTTTCTGTTTTGGGTACTCATGCAATGAATACATATTTAATTGGGTAATGCCTCATGCATATTTACACATAAAGTTTCAGAAATCTTGTAATACAAAATATGATTGTCTTAATGTATGTTTTAACATTAAGACAATCATATCATATAGTACCAACTACCAACTAATTTTTTTACCCTATTCATCTGCATTGTCTTTTTTTTGTCTAAAAATGCTACATATCCTTAAAGGCCATTTTCTCAAAATGAGTTTTTTCTCGTACTCTGAGCCATAAATGTCCACTTTATCAGCACTAACATACACCAAACATTCTAGTTTTATTCTTATCTGTTTTCTAAAGGTTTTTACCGAGGGGTTTGTATTTATATTATTCATAGCCTGATTTATACTTGCATTACATTCCTAAAAACACGACAACTTTATTTGTGGCTGTGGAGTTTATTTTTTGATTTATGGAGTGATAAAAACAGATACCACAACCACAAAAGCTCATCATCATCGTCTTCAGGTCCTTATAAAGTGTTACAATGTCTTAAATTCAGTTTTATAAACCAACATCAAACGTGTGGCGATGAAAGTTGCACTTGAACACACTGCATAGACAACAGCCAACTAGCACACATGTTCTGCACCTGAGTTAGAGGAGATAACTCTCTTCAAGCAGCAGGCAGAGTTAGCCTGTATTTGTTATTTGTAAAGGGAAATGGGAAAACCAACAGAATGGATTCAGGATGCTAGTTAGCCAGTTAGCATATTGACAGCACAACCAGATGTTCAAAAAAAAGACCAAAGAATATTTATCGTGTCCTAATAAACAATGACAAACAGTTAGGAACCGGCTTAAAACATAATCTTTTCTCATATAGTAAGTTTGATTCAAGACTTTAGCCGTTTGTTTGCTTTTCTAACTTCAGTTTCTCTTCTCGTGCGCTGAGCTGAACTGCCAATCAGAATGATTTCACTCACTTAGTGTCTCAGACCAGCTCCGCCAATGATTCAACTTGCTGGATAGGCTTAAAAACATCAAATTAGTGCCAACAGTGCATTACACGCTGCAAAAACTGTGACAAAGGTGACAAGATGCTCACCAATGGCCCACATTGACCAATGGCTGACTGTCAGCTTGGTGTGTCAGGGGCCTTAACAATCAAAATATCTGATATCTGGACACACTGTAAAAATCTTTGACTCAAATATGTCAACACAATGAAACAAGAACTTTGGCTCTGTTGGGCTTCGTCCAAAATAGATATTTCAAAATAGATATGCATAACTGGAACCTTTATACATAACATAATACAACAAAAATAATTGTCTTAATATAAGTAATCACCTGGGGAAGCTTCATGTTGAAATCAATTTGTTAGAAATTCACCTGTAGTGTTAAGAGTAAACACTGACAAGTGTCAAAGCCACTTTCTGTTAATACTCTTGCTTTGTTTAGTTTGATTGTTGATATTTTAAAACATCATGTCTTTACATTTTAGGAGTACCACTGGGTCCAAGAGGACCACAGGCCACGAGCCCCAACTGCGGAACAACGTGCAGCCGTCTCACCCTTTTATCCAGGATCCCACCATGCCACCAAACCCAGCTCCCAGCCCCCTCATCCAACTAGAGGAGGTGCGCCGGCGGCTTGAGGAGGAGAAGATAAAGTCTGGAACCGTACAACCCAAGCAAAGGTTGGTGGATATGGACTATGACCGGTTATCTGTCCAGTGAAACAGTGCAGTGTTTTACAGAATCTATTAAACTCAACCACAGGGGAAGAAGTTGGATCTATCGTTTTGCTTTAGTCAAAATGAAACAGTTACTGTTTCTAACTGCCGGGGTTGTTCGGTCCCTCAGGTATGTGATGGAGGTGATCCAGAGGGGTCGCACCGCAGTCAGGCCTGCACTGTTCCCTTCCCTCAGCGTGGTGCCCGCCGTCTCTGACAGCGAGCTCTCCCAGTCCGAGTATGTCCATCTTGTACTACCAGTAACTTTTCCAACCATATCCTCATTCCCCATAATTCACAGCAACCCACCCTCTCATCACTGGTAGTTTAGTCACCCAGTACTGTGTGTTTTTGAGCTACTAAAAAACACATTTAGAAATCAGTAATGAGCACTTCCCTTTCCCTTCTTCCCTCCTCTGTGTGCTGTGTCATTATGTAGCGTCCCATACTCTATCATTGAGTTTGTTTTATTGTAGTTTCTTGTCTTGTTTCTCCTTTTGGTTGCAAGTATTGGAAGCCAGTGAGAAAAGTCAGAAGTAACTAGAATCAGACTTGATGGTAGAAAACATATTAGATCCCTTGCTGTTTTTTTCCCATGGAGTCCAGACAGAGGCTCGCAGAGGAAGGAGAGTGCATGATTTCTGTGTTCTTGCAGAGGCAGACGTTTTGGGGAGAGGGTCAGCTTTTTCATGTTTTATCAGATACAGGTTTGTTTGATGTTTGAGTGCCCTCTCAGATGGGTTCTTAACTGATGGAGGGGGGAAGCTGTGTACGAGGCGGATGAAAGGCGGATTATGTGGCACTGCCAGTGGATGAAGCCTCTGGTCAGACCTGTGAGGACTTGGATTCAGGACTTAGTGTGTGCCTGGATCACGACTGACTGGGTCTTTCAATATTAATAGTGTTCAACCTTGAAAATGTCTGAAAGATACATTGGGGTACTTTGGAGTGCCTTCCTGTTTTCCCTGCTTTCCAAGACACATTTTGGATGTAGGCCTTCGTTTGACTGTACAGAGCAACCAGTCATCTCTTTTTCCTGTGTCTGAAAGTTAGCTCAAATATAGCTAAATCAGGATAACTTTATGAATGTAGTAACAATTAACAATTGGGAAAAATACACTCATATCTGAAACCTATAGCAACTTGATCACTATCAGACCAGCCTGTTATTTAACTTATGTTACAGAGAATTCAATTATTTTCCAGTGACAAAGATAGACAGTTATGTATGTGGTCAAGTTTTGTGATCACAAAGGTTAACATTATCTCATTGCGCATCACGGCACACCCAAAGGCTGCTGGTAACATCATAATTTCGTGGCCTTTCCCACTCAGAGGAAGTCATAAAAGCGAGAGTACACCCATTTACTTAAACTGCTGGCTGGCTGACTTCTTATTACCCTTCATCAACAGACATCTCAAAGGTTCAGTTAACCCAAAATATACTTTATTTTCAGTACTGCAGATATTTCTGGGTTCTTTTTTATATATTTATTGATAAAAGACACTGTCAACACTTCTTATGTGGATCTATTGTCCCCCTAAAGTAGACAGTAACAAACGTTGTCTACTGCAATATTGGTGACATTTTTTTAAGTTTGTGTTGCAGCTCCACTTCAGTTCATTTGTGTCCTCTCCACCTGTACATCCTGTTGTTTCCACGTTCACCATGTTTATTTTTGTTTTCTAGCCAAATGAGTTATCCTTAAAAAGCCTCAGTGTTGTTTTCCCAGAACTGATTATTGAAAGACACTTTTTGTTCTCATCAGCCCACATTGTATTTCTCTCCAGTCCCTTGCTGTAATTACACATAATGATTAGAAAGTTTGACCTTTAGGAATGTTTTCCAAAGTGCAGCACTCAACTGTCACTTGAGACATCCGCTTGTTAATGTCAAGACTTTTTTTTTATCACTTTTAAAAACACAATTTACAAGCTAGATTCCTGTTACAGGTGAAATTTATTCAACATAACTCTGAGAAGTGCGGACTTTATTAATGGAAAAGTTTCAAATGTTCTAAATGGCTTTCTGTCCTCTCCATTTGCAGACACAAAGCCACTAAAAAGCAGCCATGTGAAAACATTACGGTGGCGTACTACTTCTGTGAGGAGCTGATACCGTACAGGACGTCTGTCAAAGGGAGAGTCGTCACACTGGGCCAGTTTAAAGAACTGCTGACAAAGAAAGGGAATTACAGGTGAGATTTATGGTGGGGTTTGTTGTCAGTGGACATTACAACATCACAACAAAATGTCTGAATGTATTCTTTAATAAACAAGAAGCAGGATTGATTAAGAATGTATTGTTTTATAGGCTCTATAACACAGCTTGCCTTTAGATTCAAAACTATATGCTATTTGGAGTCTTTAAAACATTGTTAGAGCTATAGTAGATACGGGGATTTATGGGAGTGAATATTAGGTCTAAGTACATCGAAATTAATGAAATGATATTATCAGGTAGCTTAAAATCCTTAAAATCATACTCAAGTGTTGATGGGTCCATGGTTCAGGCTATGTCTGTTAACACTGACTAACTGTAGGGGTTTTATGATTAAATAGATTTTCATTCAGGTTATTTCAAATGAGGTGATAGCTGTAACACATTTGTGATTGCCTTTCAGTAGATGAAATGAATTAAAGAATTTCTATCTGAAAGACAGTCCTGCATCAAATTCTAAGTGCATGGTGAATGAATTGCTGGAGTATAAACCAGAGGTCATCACTGGTCCGAAATGACAAACCCTAATGGACCTGGGGAATTCATTCCGAGACCCAATTAGACCTGATAGTTTTTTAATATATATATATATATATATACCCAGCCGGGTGCATGTCCAAAAGTAGAGGGAACAGAGACTGAGGTCGATGCTCTGGACTTTGCACAGCAGGTAATTGTTTCTAAAAATCCCATTCTGCTAAAAATGATTGTCATGTTGAATAATGTTCTTAACCATATTGCTGTTTATAATGTCAAATGTGGTGGTATATTATGTTCACATCAGTACTGTTCTCTCCACAATTTCATTGTTCAGTTGACTTTTCGGAAACCTTGAATACTGAAGTGTAATTTCTTCAGATTTACTGGCGTGTTAAACAACAGAGACGAATGAAACATGTGGTGACGCCCTACCTTTGAAACAGTCGTAAAGTCTGAATATGTCTCCATTCCTCAATTATTTATATTCTGTTGCTCCGTAAGGGTCCACGGATCCAAAGGATTAAAGGGGTTTTTCTTTCATAGAATGAATCCAAGTTGGGAATATTGTGGGGCGCACTATCGATGTTTCTTCCACTCCGCCTTCAGCCCATTATGTTTTTTTTTTTAAATAATCTGATCCTAAGTTAGCCCAGTCATGCCTAATCATCATCAGATTCCACCAACAGACCTGATGCTACACCATATTACAAGTAAAAGTCCTGCAATCAAAACCTTACTTCTGTGACCCATCAGATTCCGTGACCCAGCCCCTAACCCCGAACCCTAGCTACTGAAAACTCTGTCTGGTGCCGGATCACAGAATCTGACAAATTACAGATTTAGGGGATCGAGATCCGACCCGGACTTGATTGATCACAATAAACATGGACCCAAACCTCCATGGGTCCCAGGATGGGTCGTAGGGGATCCTTTGGTATACAGTTCCACTGCTGGGTACAGTGTTAGTAAAGGTCACAGATTCCAACCTGGAGAAGTTAACTTTGTTCCTCTCCTTTTTTTTAGGTATTATTTCAAGAAGGTAAGCGACGAGTTTGACTGTGGGGTGGTGTTTGAAGAGATACGAGAAGATGACGCTATCTTGCCCATCTTTGAGGAGAAGATTATCGGGAAAGTTGAGAAAATTGATTAAATGTCACGTTGAAGAGGAAGGAGTCAGAAAGGCAGCGCGTGATGGAGTGAGGAGCAATCGGATGGTGAAGAGGAAGTGTTCTAGAACTGAGACTGGAGAAGAAAGTGATACAGTACAAGTGGATCTAGAGCTGAGGGGTAAAGCAGTGGTCATGGCGGACGACTTGTGACGTTTGAGGCTTGGTAGCACCACTGCAGTGACATTGGATTAGAAAAAAAAAGACCTCATTCGCTTCTTTGGAGTGTAATGTAGCATTGTAAAGTTTACTAGATAAATGAAGAACAAAAGTGCTACTAAAGCTACATATTTTTGATATGATGTATCAGAGGGTGTCCTTTCTAAAGTAACTACACTTGTAATTTTTATATGTATTGGTACCAGATGTGTACAGTTTGTGTTAAAAGATAACAAAATTTTATATCTATTTAAGTATTTAAGATGCTCATTTTCAATTCTATTGAAGCAGGAGTGTCGCCCCTGTTGAAGACGATCAAAATCCTTTTTAGGGCTGATTTTTCTTTTTTGTTTTTTCTTATTAATTTCAAGAGCCCTCTGGACTCTTAATGTTTCTGCTCTTAGTGCTTTTAATATTTCACTTGCAAGTACTTTATTTTGTGGCATTCAGTCAGGCTGCACTTTCATTGTATTATAAACCACTGACTTTGTCCCAGTGTAGGCTGCAACATGAATTCGTAAAGCACCAAACGTGGTGGCCAGAAAAATGGAAACCCCTGTGCAGTCTACGGTAATCCAGTACAACAGCCCAGATTGTACTTTTAAGAAAAGTATAATGATTTATGACACTGTAGGAGAGGATTTATGTTGATTTTTTGGGCTCAAACTTCATGGTGGTGTTGTAATATATTTAGGAAACAGTTTGAAGTAGAATACAATTCAGTATATCATCACAAACTCAGCCTTAAACATGCTCTAATTTGCAATAGCTGTGACTAATAGTTAGGCAGCTGTCCTTTGGCTCATGACAATCTTTCCTTAAGTTTGTGAATCTCTAAGAAAGTAATGCACTATTTATGATAGGCCCCTCCCACTGCACGCCTTCTTTTAGCCAATTGGTGTGAACACCAGCTACACCCTTGCTGGTGCTGCCAACTTGGCGACTTTGTCGCCAGATTTAGCAACTTTTCAAACCCTCTTAGAGGCTTAGCAACTTATTCAGACCATCAGGGATACATTGTTGTTCAGTTTACTGTATGATGCTCAGAATAAGCATAGTCCACAGCTCTTTGGCCTCTCCCCTTGTGCTGTGGAGGAAGTGGGGGTATTTATGGTCACATTGACCCTCTTGCTCTCTGGACTGGAAGTGTGAAAAAGTGGTGCACCGGAGTGTAAGGGCCATGGCTGTCATCATCCAGATGTTTTTTTGAGGATTTTTCTATTGAATCTAATTTAGCGACGTTTTAATGCTTCAGTTATCCCATATGCAAATCACTGCCTGTTGACATCACCAATATGCAAATACGCATATGATGCATCTGGTGACCTTTTGCAACTTTTGGAGCTAGTGGCAGACACTTTAATTTGAAAAGACTTGAACACACTTGACCTGCCTGCCAAATTTTAGCCTCTTAGGGCAAAAACTGTGCCTGCAAAGGGTGGGGAAATGTTTGATTACCAAACAACCGACTAGCAGAGCGAGTTCTAGAGCTGCTGGTCGGGCAATAAATGACCATAGCGTGACATCCATTCTTCACTCACACTCTCTCAAACATAAACTAAAGATCATACATGATATTCATTGTAGGGCTGCTTTACTGGGTTGCTTTACTGCATATTATACAGGTTGTTTTATCTTTCTGGTTATCTTGTATACACTGGATGTGAATGTAGCCACTGGCTGTGTTCATGTACAGTGTTTTATTGCAGTGATTTTACCCAAGCCAGTTGAACTTTTAAGAAAATTGACTAAAAGAATAAAACAGTAGATGCAATAATGTTTAGAAAATAGGTGTGATTGGAAAGTGCAAGGTGAACATCTATGCAAGTTGGGTCCCCTAATCTAAAAACAACTTTGAGCATTTAAATTTATTAACTAAATACAAAAGTTGTTCAAAACAGTTAAGAACAATCAGTCTATTAATAAAAGCCTGTTTTTTTTTGTTTGTTTTAATTTAGGTGTTTAGATGATATTTGGCTGATATTTCAGTTGGGTCGCAGCCAATAATCTTCTCTAAAGGTTTTCCAATTCTGGTGATTAATCCTGATTGCGGGTGAGTAATTTGACCTTTTTTTTTTTTTTTTTTTTTTTTTTTTTTTTTTTTTAAATCGTCAGTGCCAATGAAAATTTGCAAAACACTTAGTCTTGCCAATTTTCTTCAATATTTCCAGTTAACACTGAATGATGCAGTTTCGGGTTCAGTTTCTAAAGTCAAGTTCTGCCTTCAGCTTTGAAGGTTAATGTTGTTTATGAAGCAGGCGCTTTCCCACATGTGGACCTGCACACTCAAGGTCACGCTCGCAGTGCGGAGAGGCTCCTTGAAGCGGTTCAACAGAGATCATATCACAGCATTTTGAATGAGAAGGCCAGTGAATGTCATCAGAGTACTATCAAACATGTATATGTTTGTGCAATGAAGATCACATAAAGGCATATTTAAACATACTGCATGTGCTACTATTAAGAGGAGGGCTAACAGACACTGAAACGTTTATGTTTACATCTTTTTTTTTTCCCCCTGACTTCGAGGTCCGTACATGTTAGTTTCTCTGATCCCCCCCAAGACTTATTGTCCTACTTTTAATTAATGCTTAGTTGATCGATCACTTAAGAAGGGGCCTTCTCTAGCTTATCACAGCGACATCTTGTGCCTGGCAGGAATGAATTTAGTGCACATGATCTACTTTTGATAGATCACGTTACACCAAAGAGAAAATAAAAAGGTAGATGGTTGATAATGTAGGCACGCTCTTGAATTACCCTTTCACATTGATACTGTATTACCCTTAATTTTGTGGCAGCACTTTTTATTCGGTGTCCTTGTTATTAATTTGTTTATATATAAACACTGAAGCTCAGAATGTTCTTCGCAATGGACGTGGTGTTCTCTGATTGCAGTTTTTAATGCATCTTGTTAAGAACATCAGCTCTGAAAGCATCATGTGAAACACTTGCAGGACATTTAGACCTTATTATTGCACACTGAAAAAAAATATGTGTCAGCCAGTTTTGTTGTCTCCTCTATTTGCCAGTGTGGATGAAACTTTTGCACTGGAATAGCACAAACTGAAATCAAACTAAGAATCATGTTGGGGAAGCAACATGACATTCAAGGCCAATGTGATTTTTTTTTTTCTGTCATTGTGCTGGAGTCCATAGTGAGGAACGTGCTCTAATAAAACCCTTTTATTTGTTATGGAATAGGCAGAAGGATAAGTTGACCATGAGGCCGGAGTGCTGTATCATATCTGTTGCTGCATAGAGAATATCTCATTTTTTTTGAGATGCTGCCTTTTTTTTTTTAGATTTCTAACTTAAATCAGTTTATATATTCATATATATATTCACTGCATTTGCCTCTCGTGTCTGTTAAATTATACATGTTTGAGCACTTGATCAAGTGAAATACTGTAAGTATTAGCTTGATTTTCATTGTTTATTTCTTCTGAAATATACAGTAGAGTATCAAAACTGTCCTGATTCTTTAAACCCCCAAAAGTAAGTTTCCCTTATTTAAGATCAATGAAATGTATATAATAAACATCAGAGTGCCTTTATTGCTATGCTAATGATGTCTGCTGTGTGACTTTCAGACAGATGTGGGGAGACAGAAATACCAGGGATTTGCTATATATATATTTGTTTTTTGTCTGTTTAGACTTTTTTTTCCTTGTTTAATGTTATTCCACCTTTTCTATGTAAATATGTACAACTTAAATTTGTCATCAACCAGCAGCCCAGTCCGCACATTCAGAACCCTGGACCTGTTTCTGTTCACTAACTAGCATGGTTACCGTTTAAAGGTACCTGGACAATAAATACATGCAATAAACCAGCGCTTGAGTTCAGAGTGTAATTAACCGAAAATTCATCACTTGCTACAAGTAAACATGGATAATGTGTCGGCAGATGATTTGCCTTTGGTATCTGCTAAGATTTATTTATGTGGATCAGAATTTAAAGGTTCCCCCAGAGTGCTGAGCTTTTGTTTGGTATTTATTTTTAACTTCTCTAAGGTATTTGGGAATATAGGACCTGATAAGTATAAAAAAACTAAGCGTTGTGTTTGAACAGTAAGTATTTTTTGGGGAAAAAAGATGTCCTCATATGGGAATGATGGGTTTATTTTTAAAAGCCACAAGTGTGCAATACATTATAAAACTTTATTTCAATGCCTGAACATTGTTGAGCAAAAACAAAATTACAAACAATGCAACTAATTCTTTGTAACTCTGGGTTAGGGGTCACTGTTAAAGGAATACTCTGACGATTTGGGAGTTATGCCCTTTCTCTATCATTTTCATATTGAGACAACATGATCGATATCTTTTTTGTGTCTGTAGCCTACGTCCAGTGGCTGGGTCTCAGCGGTTAGCATTGCGGCTTAGCTTAGCGAATACAGTTGAAGTCTATAGGGGGTCAGTAGCCTACTCGTAAAAGTGAACAAATAAACGTTACAGAAACCCTGAAGCTGGTATTTCTACATGTGCATTTAAAATAAACATGTTTAAACATTAATTCAAAAAACGAGTCCTTTTTAGTCGTTTTAGAAGAAGTTTGATACACGGAACTATAGTGTGTCTATGCCCTGCGCGGAGGGATACACCGGTGAGCGACAGCTGCAGCTGGCTCTGGGACAGGTAAGCTAGGTCACTCGGTAAAAGCAAACAAAGAGACGACACGGATGATCATAAAGCGATATTACTCACGCAACTGAAAGCTGTCTATCAGCTCCTGCAGGCCTGGGCGTTTTTTTCAGTTTATCTTAGGAACATGAAAAAATGAGAAGGCATGCGCAGCTTGCTTCTCGCTTAGTGAGCAGCGTGTCATTATGGAGACTTAAGAGGAGGTTAAACACATAATAACTAAAAAAGGAAACACAGCAGCAATTATTAAGTAGAGAGAATAGAATAGAAATGTATTGTCATTGCTCCAGAAGAAAACAATGAAAAACAGTTTGGCAACTCCAGAATTACAGCAGCAAACATCATATATACATTCATTCATAAATAAAATAACAATAAAAAGAGATTAAAAGTGCAACTTGTGCAGACAGTTAAGTGCAATTCAGTTCAGTGCACGTGTGGTTGACAATTGCGGACTGACTGAATGCGTAAGTAATCTAAAAATATACGCTTGTTGCGCAAATGAATCTGTCATGATTACAATAAAGTTCCTTTCACAAAGTTGTACACTTTGTCTAATATTATGAATGAATGACTAGCTAACGTTAGCTGGCCAGCCAGTCATAGGGATAGCTACTAGCATACTCTAATTACCAAGTTACCTTACCTTACAAAGCAAAGTTAGCAACCTGCAGCTAAATAAATAAACTAAAACTAAATGTAATGTTAAGGGTTTATATCATTGCAATCAACACATTTGCTTTTATAATGTTACCCCACTGGCCAGTAAACACAATACGGGTAACTTACGTACCGTGACACACTGTTTTCGAGCGACGCAGCAGGCATGAAGCATGGATGTAAACAACATAGACATACTATGATCAATTTGTAAGAATTGATGCGCAAAAAGACAAAGCGCCAAAAAACTAGAGGTTGGCCTTGATGTCTGTACCACAGAGGAGACTGAACAATAAATTGTTGTAGTCAGTTTTTAGGCAAAGCTGTCATCTTGTGATGGCTCCTGCTTCAAAAATGTGAGAACTTGCTGCTCCTCTTGGTCTCACTTTACGGTAAACTTTTTGGACTGTTAGTCATAAAAAAAAAACAAGACGTTTACTGATGTAATCTTGTGCTGGAGAGTATTGGACATATTTTGATGGATGTATGGAGACAGTTGGTGATGTATTTTCTGTCTGTTGACTAATCCATTAATAGCCTTATTTTAGCAGCTCCGACTTAAAGACCAGGCAGTTAATAAAGGAAAAAATCCCAGGTTAACAATCCACCTTGTTGCATAAAATCTGCTCAAGACCCTGAACAACCCTGTCCCAGAATGTTTGTATTTTTATACATGTGATTGGCACTCTCCTGCTCACACTGTCTCCAGCGTTGTTGCTGTTTACCCTTTTTTTATGCAAGGTGTTATAAAAAAGCAGATGACATTTTTAATCTCATTCTCAATACAAAATGCATTTTGTTTGCCTTGCAGTGTGATATCCAGACTAAAGGAAGGTAGTAAACGTAGTGCTTTCCAGGGGCTGAATCCCAATCAGCACAAACCCTCTGAGTCTCTTGTGGTCAGCTTGCTCGCTCTATGTCATAACTTTCAAGCATTTTACATTGAAACATTGCTGCTTTGATTCCCTCAAAGACCTGTAGCTAAAGGACCTCCTAAAACCTTGCATGGAAAATTGACTCCTGTTCCCACATGCTGCAGACATGGAAATCCTGCTGGAACATTTACGGGTTAAGGTGCATGTGGGGTTTTGGGGCTTTTGACTGAACTTCACCACTGACGTTACCTCCATCAGGGGGACTGTGGGCAAGGAAAATGAGAAATGGCAATATGCTTTGACAATTGTTGTATGAATTAACCTGCATTACTAAGATTCATTTAACAGAGTATCTCTGGAATATGGCTTGAAAGTGGGCACCAGTGAAATGAACTCCAACATACCGGTATAGTACTTCAGATTGGTTATCACTTCCACAAGTACTGTGGTATATTTATATAATTATATTGGCTGGAAACAAAGAAGAAGCAGATGTATATTTATCACTGTGGTCGGTGACAGAGATTTATTTTGGACTCTGGGGTGTCTTTCTCTGTCTCTCTGTTTCTCTCTCCGTGTTACAGGTTCGTAACACATCTGCTGTTTAGTTTAGTTGCGCATCAACAGGTAACCTCTAGCTCAACAGCTAAGTACTACAACAAGTAGTCGTACCACTCTTAGTACCACTGTCAGTACTGCCAGTCGTTTGTCACTCTGTTCTATTAATGTGTGCTTATTCCTCCTTTTTCTATAAATAATTACCTTTTTTTGATGAATGGGATGTTTCCCGGTAACCACAGTAACAGTGAAGTGGCGGTGGGAAATGCCACTGTTTGTTTGTTTTTTATTTTTTTTATCCTTTTTGTTTTTATTTTCTTTGTTTTTTTTGTTTTTTTTTACTCAAAACATGTTTGTGTGAATACTTTTATTTTGAATCTGAAATTAATAAAATATCATCTTTCTTAAATGTCACCAGAGTTTTTGGTGGATGTTGGCAAATAATATAACATAAATTCCTTTCTTTTTTTTAAAAAAAGAAAAGATGCAGTGTCTTGTTTTGTGTGATAAGTTACAACCTCGTCTACATTTCAATGATTCCTCACCAATAGACAGATACACAGAATAATGTAGTAGTGTTTCCCCTTGCATATTCAGAAGTCATGACACAGATTTGTGATTTTTGTTTTTTTGTTTTTTGTTTTTTTTTCCAATTTAAATTTTGATTCTATTCTGTTCAATCCAATTCATTTGTATTCAATTCAATTCAATCAAATCCAATTCAATTCACTTGTATTCAATTGGATTCGATTTGCCTCAGTGGGCTTTACAATATAAGACATCTCTCTGTCCTTTGACCCTCACATCGGATGAGGAAAACTCCCAAAAAAATCCCCTTTAACAGGGAGAGAAATGGAAGAAACCTCAGGAAGAGCAACTGAGGAGGGATCCCTCTTCCAGGACGGACAGACGTGCAATAGATGTCCTATGTACCGTACCGGTCAAAAGTTTGGACACACTTTTTCATTCAAGTCAATGGGAAAGTGTGTCCAAACCTTTGAGTGGTACGGTAGCCTGGATGTCCTACAGGACAAAATACCTACAGGGAGAGGGAGAGGGAGAGAGAGAAGTTAACAATACTAATAGATATATGAACAATAATACAAATAATAATAATAATAATAATAGTGGTATGATAGTATATACACTCATCGGCCAAAACATTAAAACCACTGACAGGTGAGGTGAATTACTTTTATGTGGTTTTAATGTTTTGGCAGATCAGTGTATTTTACATGTATATATTATCATATAATAGTATCTGTATGTGACATTAATAATAATCATATGTGCATTATAATAGCATCAGTATGACTAATAATATTAGCAGTAGTAACTACACAACTCCTGACAGCTGACATCAGTTTCACACAGATGTGTCAATAGTGTGTATGCATGTGAAAACACACCTTCATGAGGTATTCTTAAGACTCAACATCCATGGCAGGTGAAGGTCGCCTTGGTCCAGTCCCAGAGTCGCTGGAAGCGGTTCTTCTTCTTCCTCTTTTGCTTCTTCTGGGGCACAATGATGATGGAAATCAAAAGGACATTAATGACTCAGCTGTCCTTGGTAGAATCAACAATGTGAAAGACCCGAACACGTCAGACACAAGTGGAGGTTAGCATTTCCTACCAGATGTGGTGTCGCTGGATTCTGTGTCCTCCTGTGGCATGTCAGAGCTCTCAGTTGAACTATTTTCAAATAGTTCCTCCAGAAAATCCAATGGGCTACACAAACACACAAACACAGAGTTAATATTTTATCACTAATCTGCTCTACTGATGGCCTAACTCCATATCTTCTGAATGACATGTCCAGAGAAAATTCTCTTACCAAGCTCCTTCGCTCTGCCTGCTGTCCTCCACCAACGCCAGGCGGCATTCAGGTGGTGCAGGCTACACCAAGATAACACCTGGAGGTACACTTTGTGCTGAATCAGATTCATGACACTCACTGTCAGAATCCCACCTGTTGAATTAAGGCACATGGAGTTGAACAAACAGCTGACTGAGAACGTATCCAACATTTAATGTTTAAAAAATAGACATGTCTGAAATGAGGAGAAGAGTCTTACCAATTTTTACACTCCAACGATGTGCTGACGGAGG